CAGCTACATGAAGTATTGTGGCATAAATGAGCACAGCTGTCTTACACTTGCCGCGATAAGTTACTTCCCTTGGTACAGAAATATGCAAGGTAACATTCGCATTACAGTGCAATAGTGTGACAGTTCTTTTACATTCATGGAGGGCTTGTTTGTGTAAATAGAAAGGTGTATATCTCAAGCGATTATATAAATCGTTTCTTCAAAATGAATAGATTTGTCATCTAGAATCCTCTTCAGCAGTTATAAATTTTGACAGCAGAAAGGATAACAAAAGGGGAAGAGAGCCAAGCTACTCGTACAAAACAATTGTGTACAGAAGTAGTACAGAATACACACATGTAAGGTTGGATGGCTTATTTTTTGTAATATTTTAACTCATCCTATATGAGTGTTTGTAAGTTATCTATGGATCATTTTTCTGTATTACTAGATTTTTCCTTTACTAGATTCTCGATCTAGGTGGATTTGACTAGACTTAATTTTGTGGTCCTAGGATTAGACCCCAACATCTAGTGTCCGTTTGATTGCAATAATAAAATTTTGGTGGAAAGAAAACGAATTGTAGAGAATGAATTGCCAAAAACTTGTTTTATTGGAAATTGTCAATTAAATGTGTTTGATTGGTATAATTTTTCATATGAAAAATGTTGAAATTTTAAATCTTTTGATGTTCGATTAGCTTTTTTATGAAAATTATCAATTAAAGGGATAAAATTTATTACAATTATAGATAGAATTTATTTCTATTGCCAAAATAAATAATATATATATATATATTGGAGAACACAATTCCCACCAAAACCAAAAGAAAATCAGTTTCTTAAAAACCAATTCCGTGAAAAATTTTGGTCATCAAACATACAATTTGGATGGAAAATGAAAACTTTCATGCAAAAAGAAGCCTATCAAACAAGTCCTTAGTTCAGTTCCCATTTGGCCCCCATTAATTTTCATTTCAATACATTTTATTTTTCTCTCTCCTATTTTCGACAACACAATCTTCCATTAAAATAATATTACACGTAAAATGAAAACTTTTCATTTCTTTTCAACAACTCATTTTTCAAAAAAAACATTATTTCACCCATTTTTATTTCAAAAAAATGGTGGCCAAACGAGTTCTCAGTTTTCTTAAGTATTTCATTTTAGTCACAGATTCCTAAAAATCTGAAGCTATAGATACTCTACGGTTCAAATTAAGGTCCCAACAAGAAAATCAAAAGCAAAGGATAAAATAAAAATAAAGCTCTAAATCAGCTTAGGAATTCACCAGACAAATTGATAGCCGCTTCAAACTTAACATAGAAATAGGAAGTTGAACTTGTGAGGTAAGTGAAATGCACAGAAAAAAAGATCAAGATTTAATTTTTTTTAATTAATTAATTTATTTATTTATTTATTTATTTATTTATTATTATTATTATTATTATTATTATTATTATTATTTCTTGGGTACTCCCAAGATTGCAACCCCAGAAGTCTATATATCATGATGCAATGTAATCAATTGTCCCTTACCAAAGTTAACTTGTTAATAGGGTTTAACATACGCTATATTAGGTGGCTTGGGACGGAGGACTTGGAGTCAAAATTTTAGAAGAAAATCACACAAACTTGTATTGAATTCCTTGAACCTCAATTTTGTATGTCCATCTCATGCTGCAAAGAGAAACTTGAGTGGGACGATCGCACCGTCACTATCAGAGTGCACCACCTCGACGGGTGGTCTACCACACACCCCCAAGTGTGTGGGGCATCCGCCAAGGCGTTGGGCACATCACTTGGGTGGTGCGCTCGCCCCACTGAAAATTTAATCCTTAATCCTTGTTTGAGCCACATTATTTTGGAAAAAATGCATTGTTGAATAGTATATTGATGGGAAATGTGTGGTTAAAAAATAAGGAAAAGTTTCGAATTTACGTGTAATATTATTTTATCAAAGAATGTGTGGTTGAAATGATGTTAAATCACTACTTAAGATGTATTTTTTAAAATAATGTGGATCAAACAGAACCTTAGTCCGTGCGGCAAACAAGCTATGTGGAGATTATTTCACATAACAAAATTACCCATTTTTAATGAATATATATATATTAGAAGACATGGCTAAAAAACAAAAACAAAAAAAGACTGTTAATATGATTCTCAAAGACATCAGAACTATTGCAAGATAGATAACTTACCTACAAACAGAATAACTCAAATCGGATTACCATATATCATCCTGTTCAATTAATTAAAACTTCTGGATTTTAAAAAGAAAGTGAAACAATGGTGTGCAAGGCCTCCATATAGTTCTGTAAACGACAAAGGAAAACTCTGCCTGAATCAATATCATGCCCCAGTTGTTATGCCTGTCAGTTTACCATAACGCCCACAAAGGTAGAAATAACCAAAAAATTATAAATCAATCGGGTAAACGTAAAAAATAGAATTAAAAAAAAAAAAAAACTAACCCCTAATATGTCAGCTCATCCAAACTAGATACAGCTATAGGTTCTCCCGTCAAAAAAAAAAAAAAAAAAAAAAAAGGAAGTTAAATTCATGCTTTAAATGCACAAATTTCACAAGAAAGAGATCAAATCATATCTCCGCATATCAAATAAAATGTCCAATAACTTATTAAAAATTAAAACATAGTTCCAAACAACATTAAAAAATAAAATAAATATATACACAGACACATATATAATACCTTCGAAATCGGAAAGCGCTTAAACGGAGAGAAAATCGAGATTCGGAGCAAGTAAAATGAGCGGCTCTCTGTATTGTGTTTCAATGATCTTGAAACCAAATTTTTATTTCAGAAAGTAAAGAAAAGAAAAAGGCTATGTTAAATAGAGGAGAAGTGAATAAATGTTTCTTGACATAAAAGTTAAATGAAGAACCAAAGAGAGCATGCATAAAAATTCTCTCTCTAAATTCTAAATTTAAAAATGATCACTGCTCTTTTTAAGGTCTGTTTGGGAGCGATTTTTCCTTCCAAAAAATTTATTTTTTGATTGTTATTTCACTATTTCAGTCGTCATATTTGACTTCTTCTCTCACAGGCGAACCCCACTTTTCTCCTAATTGTCAAAAAATCAATTCTAAAAATCACTCTCAAACAAGCTCTAAATAAAGAATCTCATGTAGATGCTTTTATAGACTAATAACTGAGTGGTTAGGGAAATTGTTGTCATTTGGTGCCATAGAAGTGAATTTTTTTCTTTTTTTATCTGATGCATGCATGCTTAAGAAATTAATTAGAAATATTTTTTGATTTTATTTTCATTAGAATTTTGACTTGTCACATTTGCAAAAATATATATATATTTTTTAAGGCTTGTTGGGGACAAAAACTCCCTACATACTAAACATGCTGCAAAAAACCTCCGTACCTTTTGGAAATAGCACAAAAGGTCCTCGTTTGAAACATTTAGTACAGAATACTTCCTATCATCTATTCTTTCAATAAAAATTGTGAAATGAGTATCATATTTAAATAAATTAAAAACATAAGAATAAAAAAATAAATCTAATTGTAACCCCAAATTTTTTTAGAAAAGTACAAACAAATTCACATAAATTATTTATGTATAAAAATAAATAAATAAATAAATAAATAAATAAACTCTCTTATCTTTCCACTACCCTTTTCCTCTTCCCACCACCATTCCATCATCATCATCACCTCTTTTGCCTTGGCTAGTCCTTCCTCTTTCACGTTGGCCATTGACTCTTTCACAGTCATTCCTCTTTCGTTGTTGCATCAATTTTCTCAATTATTCTCTCTGATGGCTCTTTCGAGATTAACTTTTTGCCATCAATGCGGTTTCCATCGTTAATGAACTAACCTATCAAATTGAAACTGGAGAAAATGAGATTATATCAAAGGCATTCAAGAAACCCTTCTCTTCTCCTTGGCCAAAATTCTTTAATTCAAATTCACATTCTCAATTGGATATTTAATCTCTGGGCTCCCCTTTTGAACCACGGGTCATTAAGAATTTCATGAATGGTACTTTGGGTACTCGGAATCAAGTCTACTATCCGAATTAAGAACCGCTTTAGCTCAAGTGATGTCTATTTAGGCTTGAGTGTTGTTTGGTTTGGGTCAATTTTGACTCCAACCCGAAATCAAAATCAAATTAATTTATTTTGATGAATTTCAACCCAAATCAACACACTTTAACTCTTAAATCAAGTCGATCAAACCCAATCTGTTCGATTTGGTTAGTCAGTTTGCACATTTAGTCCAAATTGATTTTTTTTTTTTTTTAAATTGTCTGAATTTTGGATCCACATTCTTCAATACTCTTCCGTATTTTTTAACTATCCAGGTTTTCTAGTTTAAATCTCGGTGGAAAAACTTGATAGTAATCCGCTGGGAGATTAATTGCTCGAAAAGGTGATTACCACGATGACGGCGGCAGTAATGACGATGATGAATGGTGGTGGTGGGAGAGAAAGAGAAAGAGAGAGTGAATTTTTTGTTTTGTAGTTTTTATTTTTTTTAATTATTTATTTGGGACTTATTAATTATTTATTGAAAATTTTGGGACCATGGTTTTAATTTGTACTTTATTCTTTTAATTCTTTTGTTTTATTTAAATGGAGAGGGTATATATATCATTTCACAGTTTTTTGTTAAGAAAATGGATGGCAAGGGGTACTTTGTACTAAAAGTTTCAAATAGGAACCTTTTGTGCTATTTCGAAAAGGTATTGGGGTTTTTTTCACAGATGTTAATAGGTAGGGTTTTTGCCCCCAATAAGCCATATATTTAAATTCAGCCCATGTGTTAGATTCCATTTAAAAAAAAAAAAAAACCAGTTTTCTCTTTCTTATTTTTAACTATACATTCATCAATAAAATAATATTACACGAAAATTCAAATATTTTCCTTAATT